CATACAACTAATAACGTCGTAATCGATGTAAAAACAAAGCAAAATTTTTATTAGGTAATTTAGGTAAAACTATAAAAAAATGTAAATTATCAAAATTATATTGCAGTTACAGGAACTTATCGCATACCGACATCGAATTGCCTATTCAAAAAGTAACGCTTAACGGTAAAAACAAATGTATTAATTGCTTATATGTATCAGAATATTATATTTTTTAACATCATCAAACGACTTTAAATAAAGTATTTAGTACCACTTTAACAATTATGGGGCTTTTTGACGACTTGCCCGATCCTGCATTTACTTGTAATTCTTTTCCTTTTTATTGCTTGTTATCAAGGTACTGAGGTAACTTCTCCCAGATCGTTAAAACGTGACCACCATAAAGATGATTCTCCGGGCGAGTGCTGCAAAAAAGCTAAGATTGGTTTGTTTCTTTTCTACATATGGTAAAGACCTTATTCCGACTCTAGTTAAAGCAATTTCTCGTCGTGGAGAGAGGGCTGAACTGCAAGATTTTCATGTTGTTATTGAAGATTTCAAAGGCTGCATCGGACATGACGTCTCCGAAGAAATGTAAGATTATTTCTTTCTATCTTCCAGAGCACGACTAAGCTACTACGCAGTCTTTGATGGTCACGGTGGAACCAAAGCTGCTGAATTTTCGTCAAAATACTTACATATCAATATAGCAAAGCGTTTTATCAGGGGTACGTATTGATTAGATGCTTTCATGTCAGGTGGCGTGCAACAAATTGATAAGGACATTAAACGCGTCCTCATAGATTCATTCAAAAAGACGGATGAAGATTTTCTTAAAGAAGCGTCAAAACAGTTTGTTTTAGTGAAATTTTCTATATTTGCTAAGGAAACCTCATTGGAAGGATGGATCTACGGCTACTTCAGTCCTTCTTGTAAACAACACTCTGTACATAAGTAACATTGGTGATTCTAAGGTCAGAATTTTTCGTAATAATTCTAAATACATATAATTTTAGGCGGTTTTGGCAAGATACGTTGAGGAATTGACGGATGAACACGATGAAGCCGACAAACTTGGCGTCGACCCATTTGGCAGTCTCACTGCAATTTCTCTCACCCAAGATCATACTCCTCTAGATTACAATGAACGTCAGCGGATCCAGAAATCTGGAGCCAATGTCCGTGAAGGGCGCGTAAATAGTATCCTTGAGGTCAGCAGATCCTTTGGTGATTACCAGTT